ATTCTTCCTCCTTGCAGTCACGGAAGAATTCAAAAAGCTTCAAGGCCTCCTCCAGCTGAGATTTTCTGAAACAGAGAAAGAAACAGTAGAACTCACAGTCAGAACTGGGATCCTGTGGAGACAATGGTACAGAATACCTTTTCAAAAGGCTTCAGAATTTAGAAAATCCAGAATTTGAATGCCTGTAACTCCTCTTTGTCATAGCTTAATTTACCCGTACAAGAAAATAAGGCAACCAAAACTAAATTTCCTGCTTCCTCTAGGAGATGAGGGGTTGGCCACATGCTCTCCAGACTACACATTCAGCAAGTCAAAATAAATGCTGAAAATGAAAACAAGGCAACCAAACTTAAATTTTCCACTTCCTCTAGGAGAAGAAGAGTCAACCAACACGCTATCCAGACTATACATTCAGCAAGTCATAATAAATGCTGAGAATGAAGCTTTTCTTCAACTGCGAGAACTAGTGAACCTTCCAATCAGCTGTAACGAAGACACTCAAATTGCTTGTACCATGTCTTTCTACATGGGGAAAATGAGAAATTCTAAATGCTGGGGCCTCTGTGTCCTCTGATTTAAAAGGGATTGCTCGACCATGCTAATCAGGAAGAAGAGCCATAAGCACAGCCCTACCGTGTCTTGCTCAGAGCTACAAGGTTCTGATACAGCTGACGGAGCATCTGAACTTTCGCGAAAAGCACTTCTGGTTTGACTGCGCTGTCCTTGCTGATTTCTGCTGTCCTTTGGGTGATATATGTCAATTTATCATCATAGGAAGAGATTTGTGAGTCAACCAGGTCGTGATTCTGCAGCAAATCTACTACTTCCAAGAGCTGCTTCCCACAGTCCTGGGAACTCACTAGTGCCTGCAAACAAAGTGAGAAAGAAATGGCATTGGCAGAGAGTGTGATCTAAGGGCCCAGTACAAAGAAATCAGTTAAAAGGTTCCTGTTGACTTTGACAGCTTTAAATGTAAAAGACTGGTTTCAACTATATAAAGACTGTACCTGCCTAACTAGAGGAATCATACTTTTCTTTCAGTTTCACAAGATAGTGCCAACAATCTCGAGGTTCTATTTACTACACTGGAAGCAACGGTCTCTTCAAACAAGTATTTTTTTTTTCGCATCTAAGTTATTCTATTGATTAAGCACTCAAAGTCTCAGCATTCTTGGAATTCCAAGGAATATCCCTTTCCTATACACCCAGTTATAGCCAGCTAGATTCACAGTCTTTATTTGCAGAATTCTATGATATCCAATTTTATGACATGCTTTGACTGCATTTTTTTTCTTAGAGGAACTTACTTGCCTTTGCTATCTAAATAATAAAATAATAAGAACTACTTAGTATTTTATTTGGGCCTGACAAAGACACTGCATGCTTGAGAGTTTGTCCTCTTTCTAATTGCATCAATTACTCTAATGTAGGATACTCTCTTTCTTCTCTCAAACCCTTAGGCTATCAGGGTTCCAACAACATTATTACCATTACATGTTCTTTGCTGACAAACACTAGGACAGACAGATTCATATCTTACAGGTATCACTTATCTTTAATTTGCAACCTATTCACTCCTTCAGTTTAGGTACAATGCAAACTATAGTTATACAGATTTTAAATAGGATATGGCAAGCCCCAAGGTGTATATATGTTGTCTGCCATTACACAATCAATATGGAACCAGTTATTTCCTATGCTAAAGAGGAGACCTGGAGCTCTGACACTGTGGTAACTCTTGGAACTCTGGCTAACAGCAACCACTGTGCATTTACACTGGAACTTTTATCTCCTAAAAGTTTAGGTGCCTCAAAGGTGGACTTAAGTTTGAACTAGTCTCTACCTATATAATCACTAGACATACCGCCAGAAGGGAATTCAGAGCAATGGGAACAGAAAGCTGTTTCTTTCCACTTTTGCTTTTACATTTCTAAATTTAGGTGAGATAATTACCACCTTTATTTTACTACATAATATGAACTTACAGTGCACTACTAGTAATACCATATCTGGCTCTGGTTACGGAGAGACCTACAATGAAGCCTGTTTTTTCTAATGTAGGTACCTGGAATGATGAACTGAAATACATAGTTAGGCATCTAAGTAAAAATAGTGATTTTTTATTAAAGCTGATAGACTCATCTTTTCGCACCAGGCAGTGAGCTCCCCAGACCATACTGCTCCCTGGAGCATGGGGGCTTTTTTTAGTGATGCACGCTGATAATAGTGTGAGCTATGTGCTGGCAGAGAGGGCTTGGTACCTGCAACTCTTTCAGCTCCTCCGTAATGGCATCAGTATCCCTCAGGAGGCCCAGAATTTCCTGCATTGCACCCAGAGAGCGTTGTCGTCTCTGCAGCTGATCCAGAAGATCCTGCCACTGTTTTGAAATGCTGTCTTGCCTGTGTGGGAAGAGAGAGAACGGGCCCTCTTGTAACAAAGACTTCATGCTTTGGACTGCAGGGGAAAGGAGTCACAGAGCTCACTGTTTTAGAGCAGCTAAATGAACAAATACAACTCTTGCCACTGGGGCAGGAGGAGAGGCCACGGTCACAGGATCGGTCATAGCAAAGCTGTTGTTTAATTAGTGTGGAGATGGGGAGGAATTTTGACTAGCATATCAATTGTCAATGAATTCTTATTCTAGAGATTGTTTTCTATGGATCCTCGTATCTGACATCTCGCATTGCTGTTGTCTGATACAGTGGAGGGGCTTGGAAAAAAGATGGGGTCTTGAAATGGCCACTTAAAATAAAAACCCAAACAATAGCATGAATCACAACCTGACCCTCATAAGGAATTTGGTTTAACTCTTTTATAATCGTTTTTCTCAGTTTTCCCACATGCTTCTGAATTTGTCTGAGCTTAGAAAAACATTCAAATAACACAATAAAAATTATTCAGATGGCTTTTTTAGCCAGTCCCAAGTAAGGACATATTGACAATCACAGAAGTTAGGATTTTCTCAAGATTTGCCCCAAAGTGGTGACACTGGAAGACTTTGTGCCTGAAAGACCTATACCTCCCAAACTGTTGACTGAAAAATGAAATGTGTTGATTTGGAAAAAAATGTATCCATCTAAGCATTTTTGATCGAAGATAGGAGTTTTGACAGAGCACACATTTTCATATAAACATGAAAATATCTCAAAACTACTTTTCACCTGAAATCAGCCTGAGTTTTGGATCATTCAAAAAAAAAAATTTAAAGAAAATGAAACATTTATCTGCTGAAACTGTTCATGAGTAGAAGAGATTCCAGCCAGTTCTACTCATGAGGGCAGAGGTAAATGGCTACCACTCTGCTTCTTTCTCCGCTCCGCAGAATATCAGGACTAACTTTAACCTCCACCACCACACATTCCCACGACTATCACTCACTTCTTCTTGATTTGGTCCTTGCCATGATAGTTCTCCTGGCTGATGACTGCAGCCATTTCAGCCAAATCTGTGAAGCGTTCCCTCCTGGGGAACACATCTGCTGCAATGGCTTCTAGCTTCTTACTCGCAGCCTCCATCCTGTCTGCACTTTCTGGCCAGAAGTCCTGCTTCCCAAGCACTTTCTTCATATCTTCCAAGTAGGACTCACGCAGGGCTGCCTTCTTCAGGAACCTCTGAGCTAGCTGTTCCAGCCTCTCTAGCCTCAACATCTCCTTCTGCAGTGCTTTTCCCCGGTTGTGCTCTGCCTTTTCCAGGATAATCCAGTGCTTTTCCACATCCTGCAGCGTCCTGCCTTCTGGGGGTAGGTACGGCCGTTGGTTGTTGGCTCTCTGCTTGGTCCTGATGTTGAAGAGATGAGCTTCAATCATACCCTTCTCTTGGTATTTGGGGGGCTTCTCCACAGTGCGAAAGGTCTTGAAGTTGGCCATAAGCAGCCACATTTCTTGAAGAGTGTTGGGGAAATGATGATCATCCAGCTCCATCACTTTCTGTTTAATCCATTTCAGGAGGTCAGAGACCATCTGCTCATACTGAAGCTTCAAGTCATCTATCTCCTTCAGGAAGGACACGATCTGTAATGGGAATGTGGAGTTACAAGCCACATAAAGATGCAGAATGGAAGAAAATCTGTGAACAGAATGCAACTTCCTCATAAACTAAATTCCGGATCCCAATGATCTGCAATATATGTCAGGAAAGTTGTATTTAACAAGCAGGTTGCCACAGTCATCACATTTTTATATCAATATGGTGATGGCTGTCGCATCTGAGGCCAGGTAAAATCCTAGAATGATCTCCCATAAAACATAGTAAAATAAATGTGATTTAATGTTTCGTTTCATTTTTACTTAAGAAAAGGTTAATTTTGGAATTAAACAGGGGACAGTACTGGTAACATGCATGTAGAAACTGTCAGCAATTCCTATGTGGGCTGAGCAGAAAGCAAGAATCCCAAACTGAGGATTACGAATCTAAGTTTCATAGTGGAACAAAACTAAGATTTTTTTCATCCTCTTTCATAAAAAGAAAAGGAATCAGTCCCATCCTGTCTGCTAACATGCAATTACCCCTCTTAGCTCCACTGCCTTAAGTTGCAGGAGAGCATCTGAAGAGTTCCTGCTTTGCCTGAGTCACATCCTGGGTCTCTCACAACCCCACTGCAGACTGTGGTCAAGCAACCCCTTCTCAATCTCTTCTGTTGGAGCTGTTTCGGTTTATATAAATTATGAGAGAAAGAGAAAGCATCATAACCAAAAAGGGGTTTGGTAAGGATGTTAATTGTGACTCAATACTGATTTTCCAAGTCCATGACATTTATCTGTTTCATCTGTGGTCTGACCTACATTTATCTGAACTTCGAGGTTGTCTGCCTCTAGCATTTCTCAGAGCCCGTCTGCTCCAGACTGGCAGATTAGTAATGGAGATGGCGCGTTGAGTAAAGATGCAGGCCCTGCAGGCTGTGATCTGCTTTTACCTATCAGAAAGTGCAGGTGGCGATGAGTAAATGTCACCAGGCTGGAAGGGCAGTAAAACAGCACCAACTTGTAGTGTAGGAAAAGCAGCCCATGGCATGAGGGCTCCCTTCTGTATTTTCTGCCATCGTACCCAGTTCTCGCTGAAAGATCCTAGTAAGTGCATGGCCACTTCATGTGGCTGGGGGAAGGGAGATTTACCTCTCCGGATCGATTCTCTCTGCCATCCTGGTCACCTGCTTAACCTCAACACAAGTGCTTCCTTGACGCATTCGGGCTTCACTCTCTAATCCTATTAGCAAATTCAGAGCTGCCTATCTGAGGGCACTAAGGACAGGAAGAGATTAACATCTATATCTCTTTCTCCTTCTGTATGTTTGTCGGTGCAAGAAATGCAAGGGGACAGGAAAGTGATGTTAGGGACAAGGTAAAAATGGCAAAGAAGAGAAACCAAGAAAAAGAAGCAGAGAAGTGGAAAGAGAGAGAGAGAGAGACAAGAAAGAATAAATATGCCTATGCAAAGAGGAAAAATCTGTGGAGTGCAACAGCAACTATAAAAAAAGCGTAAGAAATATTCTTTCCATTTTTGCCCAGCATACAACGATATACCCTATCTGATCCTTAGAGTTCCCCTAATACACGTCTGGAGACTCTAGAAAAGCTTAATATACATGCAGGCTGTTCTAAAACGTGTTCCTCTGCTCTGAAATCAATTCCTAAAATATTTCTAAGATATTCTATTTCAGGTATAAGGAATAACTCTCAAACTCTCAGAAGAAACTCTGCTAATGATCATAAGTGATGAATGAAATCCAGGCAAAATGGGAAAGAAAATCTCTTTCTTCTGAGAGAACTGAAATAATGTCTCCTGGTTAAAACTTAAAGCCTCAGGTGGATTCCAGTTAAAACCTACTGCCCGCTCTCCTCATTTACGCCAAATCTTTGTGTAACCAAACTCCAGTTCCTGCTCTCATCTAACACTTTTCTTTAGAGAACATCACTATTGCTGATACGTGACCCAGGATCATCTTGTTCTTGTCCCAAATTACTCCACCGAGCAACCCCTGCTTTGCAAAAGCTTTTCCCATTGCCACCATCAGGGAAGTCCTGTTTTTGATTTTTATGCCTCCGACTCAGCAAGAAATTCCCCCTCCACCCCCAAAACAGTACAGCTTATTCTTCGAATATAGACTATAGAATATAGAATATAGAATCATGCAGGCCCCATCCTGGACATGCAGATTTTCTGTGGGCTGTTGTCCTGTGTTTTTGACAAAACCGGAATGGATTATTTGGAAGGTAGACAGGAAATTCTCTCTAAGGGAAATAGTCTTCAGTGGAACTACACAAGATTTTGGCTAGAACTGCTCAAAATTCCTTCAGTTTTCCATTAGAAGGAGGTAAGTAATTTCAATACAAATCATAATCATGTGAAGCAAAATATATACGAAAACTTTAAAATAAATTAACGACAATTCTTTTTTTCTCTTTCACTTGGTTTTCTAGGAGTTTTCCCCCGTCTTTCACACTCTCCCACTTTTCATGCCCTTGTTTACATTTTACACCTGATTAAGGAGTTAAAAAGAGAGGATGAAGATTTTTACAGGAAATAAAAATTCAGAGTAGTCTCATAGAATAAGGGATAATCTTTCCTGTTAAATCAGAAAATTGTTGACTAGCTCTGCTTTTACCTAGCTGTAATCCTCCCAAGTTTAATGAGATCTACATGCCTCAAGCTGCCTTGGAGCACATCGGCTCTCAAAGAGAAACGGTGAGGTCAAAAAGGGATTCATTTCCAGTGAGAGAAATGCAACCAGTTAGAGATCAGAGAGTCTAGACACTTCTCAAGATTCAAGTGACAATAAAAAGTCTCTGAAGTGACTGAGCCATTTGATTCACGTCAAACGATCCTGAAGCTGAACTTGCGCTAACAAACATCTCCAAAACAAACGTAACTTTATGCAAGTATGAAGCATAAACAGAGATAGAAATAAGAGGTAACTTGTGAAGATAGCAATGCTCTTACTTTGGCAAGTCGCTTTTGGATTGTCTGGCCTTGTTTCAGTCTGGAGAAGTAGTGGTAATAGAGTGACACATAGGTCATGATGGATCTCTCATCTGGGTGGGGTACGGCCACATCCTCAGCATCCAGCAGTTTACTGATTCCTAGCTCTTTCTCTGCAACATTGAAGGCGTTGTTCAGGTTTTTGACAGGCTGGTCCTGCCGCAGGGAACTGTAGTGGATAAGATCAGGCCTGGATAAAGAGAAGAACAGGGGGTGGAGGGGAAGAGAGATTTATGTTTAAGTTATTTCAGATGATAAAACATAAATTGCTTATTAGAGCAAGAAATGCAACATAAATTACTCTCTCTGACTCTGAGCTTCTTCTGAGAGCATCAAACCTTATTTACACTAGAGGAAGAAAATCCCCCTCTTTATGAAGCTGAAGTACCACCACTCCCCAGCAGATCTCTGCGCTTTGTTTCTCTTATCTTCACTGGCTGGTGAAAACCAAAGTGTATTAGTGAGGTGATTCTGAGAAGGCAGCTTACTCCCAGCTGGAGAAGCTACAGGCTCCCTCCATCCTGCCTGAAGATGGAGCAGAACTGTTAGTGGGAAAAGAACTGTTCACGGCTCTCACAGGTGGCTTTTCTATCCTGCCTTGGGCTATTTTCCCCACTGAAGGCCACAGAGGGGAGAAAAAAAGAGACTGAGAGGTTGTTTACTCTGTTACAATTGAATCAAAAAGTGTGAACGCTTATGAAGCGCGTACTATAAGAACCACCTCCAAAATAATCCATAATTTCTGTAAAAGTACAACTGGAACACAATCAGGGAAGCTAAGAGCAAATAAGAACTTGGCAGCATTGTTCAGATGTGTGATATTCCCTTGGAGATTCCATTTTACTTCCAACAAAAGGAACTGCCAAGTAGGAAGCCTTTGGTCCTTCTTTCTTCAGAGGAAATATGCACATAGAAAGCAGAGTTTTCAGTAAGAAAGGGCAAAGAGACAGTTTTACAATATCTTCACAAATATAGGTAGCTCAAACCATGGAACAACTTGTGCTAGAGCTGGAAATAGCAATGAGCAACTGCTCCTCAGCTGATCCATCAGCTCTTACCTGTGAGCATGAATGAGTGCGTTGAAGGCCAGCCCATCACTCCAGCTTTTGGAGAAGTCCTTCACATTCACATTGGAATAGCTGGCAGTTTTATGCTGACACCAGATGAGTAAGGCTTCATTGGCAAATAGAAAATCAGCTCTGCCTCCAAATTCTTCCTGTGAAGAAGTCAAGGAAGAAAAAAATCAAGGTGGGCAACATATGGAAATAGCATCAGTGAGTTTAAGATTATGCTCCCAAAAAAGTTCTCTCTGTTTTACTTTTGTGCTGCTCTCAAATCCCCACTAACAGTCGTAACAACTTTCACACACTTATCAGCTAGATTTACCATGAAGATCGAATGATTTAACATGAATGTAGAAGGTCTCTGTGAAAGTTAATTGAATGAACTCCTAAATTATAATTTGAAATGAAGGTGTTAAAAAATTTCTAAATTCTTCTTTTCTGTAAGATTTGTAGAAACTAGGTGAAAAGTAAGAGAGACATAAAGCTCAGCTCAATTCATTTGCTTCCTTAGCTGTGGTCTAGAACTCAGAAACAAAATATAATGTGTCAATATCTAATGTTAGAAATTACTAACTTCAATTTCACAGTATCTTCACAGGATCTTACCTCTTAGGTACTTAGGTTACTCGTTATATAAGGGTTATAAAATTAATTTTTCTTAAAAACGAAAAGCTTTTCTTTGGCAAAAGAGCAAGCAATCAGCACGTGGTTCAAATCCAGAGAGAATTTTCCTCAAAGAAATTCTTTGTAGAGTCAAAGCCAGGAGAAAGTTGGTGGAAGGGAGTAAGGAACATGAGTATCCTGTATATCTCCAAGCTATTGTTTTCTCCGTCTTTGAGAAACTCTAAAATAGATTCAATTCCTTTTAGAAATTTCTGGCTAACTAAAGCCAAAAGAGTTGGATCACTGTATGCAGTTGCTGGGAAACATGCAAATCACTGGGTAACATTACAAGATCTGGAAGATCAAAATGGGCAGGAATCATCATCAGACTGGTCCTTTCTTGCTGTTTTACCTTGTCAAGTTTGATAGAAGAAATCTGAAATCTGAGTATAATGATCCAGATAAGTCCCAGGATTAAGGTTTTGTCACCATCTACGATATTCTCAGGCCCAATCACTTTTACTTGCACCTGCTAATAAACCAACATCTGTTCAGCATGAAACAATTCATGTCCAGTTCTCCGAAGGAGACACCTGCGTAGCAAACTCTGTGTGATGAGAAAGTTTAAGCTATTTTCTTAAGCAAACAGGTTTTATGTGGTTTCTTCATTTGTCCATAGATCTGCCAGCTACCGTGTTCACCCCGCTCAAGCTCCCACGTGCACCAAAGCTGAGTCTCAGTAAAAGCCTGGCAAAGGGATGGTAGTCTCATAGACTTAAAGTTCCTACAAGGATTTTGAAAACTGGTGGTTAAGGAAAGGAGAGAACCATGATTCAGTGCCCCATTCCTGCAAGGGAACTGCTACAGGGCAAGCTCAGAGACCATCTGTCTGTCCAACCTCCTGCCACCTAGTCAGCACATAGCTCCTGGCTCACCAAACAGCACAAGCACCCTATGAAACAAGCCACGGCCTCCTCTGCTTTGCTCAAGCAGCAGGCAGGCCTGCAGTTCATGCCAACAAGGTGGTACCTCTTCAGATAGTCTGTGAACGCTCTATTGACTCCCACTGTCTGTATGTTCACCTCCATGGAGATAAGATGTATGTATTAATTTGAGTTAATTCAGAAATTGTAGACAAGTTTCCACGAATTACCCAAACTTCAGAGAACATTTATCCTACTGCAGTCATGCAGGGATCATTTCAAGAAGCTGCCCAAATATGAAGGATTAGTGACCCTCTTTGCCAGGGGAGCGAAGAAGGTTTATGACAGTGTGTCTTATCCCTCTTACAGCCCACAGCCGTCCTTCACACATCCAGGGAAAGAGGCTGGGACTTTTGGGATAATTCTGCTTCTACTTCTCAAACTCTAACGAATAAGAAACAAAATCAAGTGTGAGATAATGATATGAATAAAACAAAAAGTTTTGCCAGCAGAGTAACCTTCTCTATAGCCCCTGAATGTGTTTCCTATGCCTTTTTCTCCTACAGCTCTGGTCTCCCTCTTACCAGTCACATATTCTTATTCCTCAGTCCATTTTATTCTCTTCTGCAGTTTTCCTCTATCGAAGATTAAAACTGGTCAATGTTTTTCACATGACAAAAATGTCCATGAGAAAACGTGAATTTGAAGAAATAATTATTTCCTATTGTGAAAGTGCAGATTTTGAGTGCATTGTCTCATGTTTTCTTATCGGAAATAGTATTTCAAGTCAGAATCTCAAAGCGCAATGTCTTTTCATTTAGGTGTGACTTGTTTTGCTGGACATTAGATGTTTATAAGTCATGTTAGTCAAATAACAAAAAAAAGTCAAATCTAAAGACAAAAAAACCCCAAACCTTGCCCTATACGCAAAGAACATCTTACTGTATATTACAGGGGAAAATCATAATGAACATAATACTATAATTGGTTAATGACATTTCTAAAGTGTTGTCATCTGTGATATCAATATTTACTCACCTTGGATTTCAGGAATGTAATGGCTTTGCTATTGTTCTCCAGAAAATGCACCCTCATCTTTCCCCTGTTTGGTCTGGGCAAAGATTCTCCAGAGAGCAGCTCCAGGAGTTGCATGAGATAAATGCCGTCCTTCAGCTCTGTATAAATATCTTCTATCACAACCCTTACCTGCAAAGACCAGTCACACAGTACTGAAGCCAGTTCAGCCTATGTGGCTGAACAGTTGGCCCATAGAGCCCTTTACTTTAAGTAATAAGCAAACAAGACCTTATCGCTGGTTTTACTGAATCTACTGTAGGTCAGTGCATATGTGTGAAGAGTAAGTGGATTATCTGATGACTTTTAATTCACTAAAAATGGATATGCGGAAAGACTAACATTATTTATGGCAGTGGGCTGAAGTCAAATAGGCAACTGAGCCAATTAAGAAGAAAAACAGGATAAGTGAGCAGCAAATACTTTGAAAGATATCAAAACTTTTCAACATTTTCAAAATTAAACATTTTGGAAGTGCTGACATTTTTTATTTCAATTCAAATTAAATCTTTTCAACTTTTTGTTTTCGAGCAATGCCTTTCATTTAAAAATTGCACTGATAATCCCAAAGCGAAGTGAAACAAAACAAAGGAATCGGAAGACATATTCAAAGGTTTGCTGGGTTCAAGGCTCCTTTTTTAGTCCATCGTCTTAACAAAAGGATTAGATGCCATCCAAAGTCTCCATGTTTTTAGCTAGTCTCACACTAAGCTCAGTCACTATGTGAAAGATTAAGATCTTCTACAAAAACTATTTCATTGCTGCCAGTACTGCGATCACTGAATGCTTAGGTGATAAAACATGACACTGTGTGTACTCTGAACTAGCAAGAGCTTGCCTTAGGCATTTCCTTTTGGCTTTATGCCACTAGCCATCAAAAAGTGACATTAAGTTCTTATCACACACCCAATAATAACTTACTTTGATTCTGAAACCACAGTAAATAAGCTTTTTGTCTCCAGAAAAAAAAAAAAACTTGAAGTGAAGTAGTAGCTTTATGAATTCAGAGCATATTTACATGCAAGGAAAAAGGATGAGTAACACGGAGACTTATCTTTTAATTCCTGACTAGGTGGTCTTTCAGAGAATCAAGAAATCAATGAAAGCATAAAAGCAGCTCAGAGAAACTTCTGTGTACTTTGTGTAGAACAATATCCGACAACATGCTCTCACTTATTAGCCTCATGAAAAAACTTCCTGCTTAGTTGCTCTCTTCATTTATTATTCCACTTTAATTCTTTTGTACATTAAATAGGCCCACAATTCTGCCCAAGGTATCTTATCATTAAAAAGCTAAATTTGTTACGTTCTGTGGAACTTTTATTCATGAAGAGTAGTTCCATTTTAATTTATTTGTAAGGTGACTACCGTCATATATCAGCTCTATGCCCCAGCCACTGATATATTTTTAATGACCTTGTTGTATCAGTCTTTGAATTCAAATACCTATCACAGATTACTTAACAAAATCAATCCAATAGCATCCTTATTGCTAGACTCCAAATAGTCAACAGCGCAACTGAGAATACTGTAGTGTCCTGTAGTATGCACCTGTCAAGTTAAAGTATACATTCAAAAGCTGAAATTACATTTTTAAGATTCTGATAAGCTCTCAATCTCTGCACCATTTCTTACTATATATGGCTTGCAAAGCTGTCTTATTCTTTTTTTTCTACACTTATGTTGCACAAGCAAGTACTGTCCAGGAAGTTCAGGGTGATTTCTTAAACTTTTAACTCTAAGGTGTTTTATAAACAATAAAGTATATGTATTTATCTGTAGCTATACAGAGACTAGTTCTTACATCATAAAAGCCTGACTTTCTGCAGGTAACAAAACCAGATCATGTTTTGCAGTTCTTCTCTTATATTAAGAAAAATTAATTAAAGAGTTTGCCGTGCTTTGAAACTACTTGCGCACCAATCACTAAGTTGCATCATTACACTGAAAAAAATGCATCTAATACTGAAACATCCATCATGGTGTTGAGGTAGAAAAGAAACAAGAGGCCTGGTCCTATGTGGTCCATTGTCATTAATATCAACCACAGACTCTAGAAAAGGGAATTGTTCGAGTGATGCAATTCCCTCCTGTGATACATCATTTGTGCCTGAAACGAGTTTATGCATGTGAAGTATATCTGGTGATGTATGGAATACGTTGGAGCTACCTTGCACGCACAAATCAACTGTATGCTAGTTCTGATGGTTTCCAGACGTCTCAGATCTACTGAAAATGAACTGATCTCTGCTTGCACATGTCTGGAACTGCTAGACCTACAGCAGCTTTTTCAGAGCCATGGAGCAGCAATGCAACCTGCACTGATCTGCATCCAGAAATCTCAGCCAAAGTAGAAAATCTTTAAATTTTGGCTAAGCAATTAAAAATTGGACATTGTTTCAGGAAACTCAGACCCTTGCAAATACTTTACTTATAATAAGAAGATCAGATAAAGATATTACTCTGGTAAGGTCAACAAGATACAATAGATATCACAAAAGTAACATGGTTATAGCAAGATAGTCTACAAAAGTGAACCAGAGTTTCAGGGAATATAGGTAACGTGAGCAACGGAGAAAGATGTGAGCTAAAAGATACAGACTGGAACACTATGGTCAGTCAAAACCTTTCTTGTTTGTATACATATCTAATGATGACACTTTGGACAAGCATGTAAAAATAACAAAGAAAAGAATAGAGTGGGTGAAATAAAAAAATCAGGAAAAAGCCCCAGAGTGAAGGAACTACCTACATTATTCCTGAAGAAGACATTGTTCATCCAGTTGGTGAAGGTTTTCTTTTGCATGGACATACGCTGCTCCTGCAGCTTTTTGATGTGATCTTTTTCATATTCTGTAGCCATGGTCACCTACGAAGTTAGAAACTCCAGTGAGGTGTTCAGTGCTTAAGGCATCTGCCCAGTTAGCTATAGGCAACAATAACGTACCCAATCTATCTAGGGAATCCAGCCACGACAGGTACAAGATTCAATACCACACCCAGTGTAATACCTCAATTTCCTCTTGCTTGTACTTTGTTCTTTCTTTTCATTCCACTTTATTTTCACTTACTGGAGTCCTCCCTTTTAAAATACATGTCTAGTCTCAGGATGAAAATGAGACTTGTATCTATGCAGCTTTACTTTCTTTCTTTCAGTCTCTCCCCAGTCACTTGATCCCATCAGGCACACCATGAACTGAAAGCCACCAGTAAGTTGCCTCAACATGCTGAAAGCACATGCCTGAGAACTGATCTGTGACCTTCTCAGAAAGAGCGGAATCTGCAAATCATCTTCTAATGCAGTTCCTGAAAATGTATTTTGCATGTGCTGTGCTCACTGAGGACTAGTTGAGATGCTGCTGTTGGCTTTCAGACCACAGTATGTCCAACAGAAATTAAGTAGCTGTTTAGAAAGGAAACAGAACCAGCTCGGTTTGTTCCTCCCATGAGCTCAGTTTTTACTTATCTGTCACTGCAAGGACGATGATAAAGATCTGCAATCACAAAGACACGGCCCTGGGTAGGGAGCAAGGAAGTGTTATTTCTGTTCTCCAGGCTGTCACAAAGTTGTCTGCCTCATCCATATCAGCAAAAAAAATCAGGCTTGTAACTCATTCCAGGACCCAACGTGAAGATTCAGAGATATTATAAAGGGGAGAGTCTTCCCTGTGGAGTTTATGATACATTTAACTGGATTTCAGCTCTACTGAGCAGTTCTGTTGGAGTCATTAGGCTTAAGATATGAGTCTGTAACAGCAGTGTCCACTGCTGTTATGAAGGCAAGAGGATCATTTAAATAAATCAGTCTGAAATAGTTATAGACATCTTTAGTCACCGAACATCATCTCCTTGAACTAACTACTGCCATAATTCTAAGAATTACCTGGGTATCAGCCCAGCTGTGAAACCAAGAAACCTGCTGTAGTGGTGGTAGAAGGGTCTGCTGGTGTCAACTCACTGCAAAGAGAGAAGAGAATGGAAAACTAAGGTCTGTGACAATCTGCGGAGGTGTGGAGCAGGAAGACCTGCTTTCTAACTCTTTTCTCTCTGCTGTGCAGAGGCCCCGTTCTGAGCTACTCTGGGCTCTGTGCCCTTCAACTCGTAAAAGGTAAATCACTGAAAAAATAATATCTGTCCTAGTGTGAGAAGACAGACAGAGGGAACTAGCAGCAGCAGCCACAGCAAATAGGAAGTTGCTTGCCTGAAAGTTTTCCATGCTCTAATAATTGTGAAAGATTGTGCCATTATACAAGGGTGAAAGGTGCAAGAAGTGGAGAAGTAATGATTTGTTACTGTGTCTTTTCCTTTTTCTTCTTTCTTTTTTTCTTTTTTTTTCCAATCCCCACTGCTTGGCTTCTGCAAACCAGATAGCCTTGAAACCTGACATGATCTGCCCTCTTGGAAGGATCATGACCATACATGAAAGTCTTACGAAAGCAAGGAATTTAACAAAGTTTGAAATGGAACTGTAATAGATCCCCACAATATTTTCTGATCTTTTGGGCTAGTTTAGCACTACAACTTTGTGCATCTGGAGAGCGGATATCCAAAGAATTGCCTTTCCCTGCCAGAGACGATGATATTAACCCATTCCCCCCTTCCATTCTCAGGGATGCCAACATCTTCCGCCCCCTTCATTCTCCTTTCCTAGTGAGGAATCACATTTAATGCTACATTTTCTGACTGATTTTATACCAACTGATTCTATAATGAAGTTACTGAAAACTAGTGAGAAGCAACTGGATTTGCTTGCTACTACCTCTAATCCTCCAAGCCAAGCCCTCAAAAAAAATGGCAGCTCCAGAGGAGCCTGTCAGAAATTTAATTCAGGCTTCTTATGCTTTTTCTTTTTTCCACGGGACGTCTGCTTTATTCAGTGCACTGGACAGGCTGTCATCGCTCAATCTAGGATTTGGACCTATCTTTTTTTTACGGCATGGTACTGAAATATTGATCACAAATATATTACTGCCAGCAAGCTCAAATGTATCAACTGTGTTGGATGTGTAAGTTTGTTGACTTACTATGCAGCAAAGATATAGAAACAGATACTAACAGGCATTTCATATCGGCAGCAGTTCAGTATCAAGGCTTAGAAACAAACAGGCATCCCTTCCCACAGGAAAATTCCAGCTATTCACTTTGCTGGTGTCATTATTCCTTGTTCTTTCTTTATTCTCTGTATTTATTCTCTGTAGCTGATACGCTCTGCATGAAATCACTGCACCTATGTTTCCTATTTCTTACAGAATATCTCCTCAACTCTGGAAAGCCATACAGGTTAAGAATGAGCTCTGTAATTTATAATAATGCCATTTCTGAATTTGCAAAGTGGTTCACAAATGTCTGCCAGCTCCATAACTCAGGCTTGCAGTCATCCTGGTCAATGACTAAAGAGATTTCATTTAGGTGAGAAAGAAGCTTATTTGCTGAGTTGCTGCCTCATGCAATAGTTCACCTGCTTCATTAAACTAAGTTAGAAACATAGAAACTTACATGAAGACAGATCCGTAATGGCTTATCTGAATTCGCAGGATATAAAGGCAGTACTAAAAGCCAGATATGGCCATAATGATACATTAGAGAAAAAGATCAAAGAACATTAAAAAAAATCAGCACTTACTCAGGTTTGGAGGAACTCCTTTCTCACATTCATCAGTTGGTCATTCTGGAGAATGACTTTCAATTCTAGATTCACTCCTATTCCTACATTCAGCTCTCTGCTTTCCTGTGGGGTGACCTTTGAAACCAGGAATAGAGACCAAGTATTTATAATCTACCTATGAACCTTTCACCTGACTCTGGAGGAAATAACCCGTTAGAATGCCATGAGTAAAGGTAGTCATAGACCTTATCTGATTCTGACGTTCAAAATAACGTACAAACAGCACTGAAATTGCTGTAACAGAGTGAAAATTCCCATCCGCTACGCTGATGCTTTGGTAAAGAGTATGCAGCCTTTCTCAGTTTCATTGAAGGCTCTGACTGATCACAGGCCACTTTTCTAAGAAAATTGTTACCTGAGAAGTTAAACCTGACAAAGAAGTCTGAAAAAGAAAGCACAGCAGAGGGTACAAAGATCAAATGCTTGAACTGGGATAAAGCAAGTGAGAAGGTGAAAACTGTACGTATTAGAATTTGCCAGTCACCTCTTTGAGGAAGTGCATGTATCTGCACATTTACCTGCTGCTGGCAAGGTATACTGAGAGAAAGCTGGCAGTGACAGTTTGTGAAAATTTACTATTGATGGACTTCCTGTTAATAGCAAAAGGGGAAATAATTCTGGTAACATAAATAGCACAGAGTCCTTGCTGTCACTGACGAGGCTGTACAAACACTGAGCACGTTGGCCTGGCTTCACTGTTGGGAAACAGAGGGCTGCTGTTGGGAATCACTGCTAGAGCACGAGCAGGCATCTGAAATCAGAAGTGGCAAGCAAAGATGCCCAGCTTACGAGGTGGTAAGGAAATACCAGACTTTCCCTTCTGGCAAGGTTTGTTTCGTTAGCATGCAAATGCTTAGGGAGGGGATGCGTTAGAAAAAATGCACAAAAATCCAAAAACTCAGTGCAGATAAAACTTGATCAAGGAAATCTGTATCTCCATACACCCCCTATGTAAATGTCACATTGAGTGTCTTTAAATCAGCTAAATACTAAAATGGAACGCGTATTTCAGGCATTGCTCAAAATATCCCCTCCAAAGTCCTGGACTTGTCTTTACCAGCCAGCTAATACTATGTCATTCTTAATAACCATTATTAAATGAGAGAAGGATGACAGGAGGAAAAGGATATGAATTCAGCAGCTCTTTCCACCTCATCTGTAAGCTCATTGTCTGGTCACAGTTCTACTCTTCCGTTCTATCTTGCTTTCAGCTGTACCTCCCTTGGTACTATGGTACTAGGCTACTGGCTTCAACGAGAACAGGTTGGCAGAGCAGACTGTGTTGAGAAAACGCCTTGTCATTGTTTTTATTAAATGTAAGGCAGAGAACCAGTAGGTGAATTGGCCCTGGATGGAGGCATTTCTCCCTGTTGCAAGTTAATTATTATTGAATGAATAAATGTGTGAAACACTGGCTTTGCTTTTTATGGTAACTTAGGCAATCTGGTGTAAAACGTCTCTATCTCCTGAATGCGTATCTCCATTCGTGGAACCTACAGTTCAGAGTTAAAATGGTTGGCATTGACATGACAGTCATAAATAAGGCCTTTTCATCAGTTATTTATAACCTAACGTGGCAAGAGGAAGGGTAAAACAATGTTTGTACGCAGCTACTTGGGCGGACAGCTGAAGAGGAAGAGGCTCCGCGCAGGCTGCGTTTCAGCGTGGCCGCACCTGCAGTGTGGGGTTGTGCTCATTGTCGGGGGATGTGGCACTTTCTTCATTCCATGAGCCGGCTCACTCCTTAAAAAGAACAAATAAAAAATAAAAAAATCACCCTTCCAGGTTGCTTATGGGCTCTCCCTTGCTGCCTTCACAGAGAAGTGGAGCCTTGCCTCTGATGTTGGGAAGGAGCCCAAAGAACTCTCTCCCCCTTGCACTGGAAACACCACAGTAAAACAGTATTTTTGCATTTCTTACAAGGAAGGAATCTGATGTGGGGTTCCCTTCTGCAAAGTAGCAGCCACGTTAGACACGTTAGTTTTTTTTAGGACCCTTTCTCACCTTCCTATGGGCTTGCTTTGCTTAAGACAGAAACAGAGACCACTGGGAACAGATAGACCTCACGCTCCAGCTGCCTGGCTTGCTCTCCCATAACCCCTTTGAGCACTACCCCTGCTGCTCTTCCACTCCTGGCAGCACTACATAAAACAAAGAAGGATGTGAAACTTCCTTTCCACTTGTTTGAATTTTTGTTGTTGTTGGGTTTGTTTTTTTTTTTTTTAAAGTATTGTCCTCCTCCCATGATGGGTATATGAATTCCCAGGCCTTCTCTAAAACAGGAGGAGAAATGTTCAAGTCCCCCTGTTGCAAATGGCATAAAGAAACGAATACCAGGTTCCCAAAGGAGTGCAGTTTGCCACTTCCACTCCCCCCTGAATGGAGGGGTGCTTCCTGGCAGCCTCCCCATGGCAGGCAGACGGGCAGCAGAGCCCAGCCAGGCTTGTGGAGCACTAGCTCTGCCTTCCCTCCTCTTCTGGGATAGGGGAGCCTGCTGAAGTCTGCGGGGACAAATATCACCTACAGAGACACGTGCAGATGCCTTCATGTTCTGACAGGCCCCTGGGTAAGGCCATTCACATCCAACAGCCCTATAACTAAATATGCCCTTCACTGTACCAAGCTAGTAAGTGCGTGCTCTGAGCTGCTACCAAACAAAGCCAGTTCAGATTTCAAAGCCACATGGCCAGACTTATGCCACCTCTTACAGAGGACTGAGCTCATTCACTTGGCTCAGACAAAAGGTTTGGCAGAGCCTGTTGCCCTCCGTTAGGTATGCTTTGCGTACACATGCTCCTGAAGGTATGTGAAAATCCTGTCTGGGCTTCAATGAGGAAAAGGTCCCCAAATCTCAAAGAAAACAAGCATATATGCACAAACGTGTGTGACAGCTCAGCTCGCTACCCCTCTCAGTGTCCCAAGCAATGTTGCTTCCACACGTAAAAGTCTCAAAACAAACATCTGAGCTTCGGCTCTGCGGAATATGAGGGCAGTCCTCAATGCCACAGTCTTGTAGCCCACGGTGTGCCAAGAAAGAACAAAAAGTAGCCAGTTTATTTCTCAGTAAAGAGCTGTTGCCATTCCAGATCTCACAGGCAATGATTAAATTGCCTTCAGATAGCCTTCCCCTCTTCCATCCTTCCCAAACTTCATAGGTACAACACAAAAGCACAAAACTGAATGGACTGGCAAAAGGTACAGTTTCTTGCCTCTATTACCACACAGTTGCACAGTCTTTTTCCAAAGACAATATGCACTCATTTCATGTATTAGATCTATTTTGAAGGATCATCAGAAATATATACTTACAGCTTAGGTGGAAATGGAACGCAGTCCCCATCCTCCTTATTTCTAACACTGGAACATTGCCTGCTCCCTGGCTATGCTTGAAGGTGTGACCACACAAGAGGCTTGGATGTGGACCAGCGGCGCTCTAGCCTAGAGCTGAGATTTAGTCATGTAAAGGCAGTGGAGACACAGGTGGTATGAACCATGGTCCCAGAATACTTCCTAACTACATCTTGAATTATGGCAAACCTTAGACCTCAGCATGACATAGAAGAGAACTGCTCTGTGATTATGAAAACTCCAGATAGCATCAGGAAGTAATTATTATATGAAGTTGTTTGCCCATTTGGGATATCAAGCAGAGAGAGTTAGTCAAAAACAGCTTAGGAGAGGAGTGGAAACTTCTAGTGGTCAGTCTGTACAGATTCCTTATTTTCATAGGCCTCTCAGCTGAACGTTGTCCCTGAATAGCCAAATATTTTTCTGTTTGCCTGAGCTGCTCCCCCTGCCCCTGAGAACGAGCCCCAGGCCCTCTCACAACTGAGCTCTGCCCATGAGGATCTGCACCAGCATCCTGCGATGCAAGCTCATTATAAACCTCAGCCTCCCCAGGCTCTAGTCTAAACTAGAAGTTGCTTTTCTTCTTGAATAGCTGGCTAGAGGCTACCTGACATCAACCAGGAGCAGAAGTCAAGCAGAACAGTTGAATTACATCATCTAAAGGATTTGGAGCCCCTTGCATTTGAAAAAGAGGACAGCTTAAAGCAAAGTCCGATGGATTTATTTTTCCGGGCATAAATAAATTCAGTCATCTTTTTGAAAGAGAAAATACACATTTGCTTGTTCAGTCATGAATTAAAGACATTTTCTCCTTGGAGCTGTATATATTATCTTGAAATTTTCCTTCTGTTTCTGAACCTCTAACTGTTAACATAAGAGCTTCAAAGCCTTTGCAGGATGAGCACATGGGACAGTGAACTTCCATCCTCTTTCCATTTCATATAAATATAGATAAAGGGTTTCAAGTGACAGGTTAGCCTTAATATTTCAAATATTATAATGAAAATGGACCTTGCAAATCACTGCCTTGGCAATTCTAGATCCAATTAGAGTGTTTTTATTATTACTCAGACTTTTTTCATTTTTATTCATTGGTACTAAGGAATACCACTGTGTTGGGAAAGGCAAAAGTTCTTTCTCCTTTACAAATATATTTTAGAGGGCTGTTTTGTATGTTGCACTGATAAGGCATTTAGCTCTGTTTATCAAGGAAATAAACTTATAAGACTTGCAACCAGATTGGAGAGTGGCACTCCAGGCACCCAGCAACTCCAGTGCCAGAAGACTGCATCCTAACCACTGGGAAGGCAGATGCAGTAGTGTGCTTTCATGTTTTGGTCCCCAGTCAGCAGATAACGGATTACAATCACAGCTCCCTCCAAGTCCACAAGCCCCAGTTTCATTGTGAATGCAAATCAATCACGCACAATAAAGGAAGATAGGTGGCAAAATAGGCATAGAATTGTACAGTGAACACTTTTAAGGCTGCAAGTTTTATCAAGCAGGATAAGACACAATAAAACAAGATAGGATAACACAAAGCGAAGACTAATTGCAGTTACTGTCCATTGTAGGCCAAAATTGCCAAAGTCCTTAACTTACCGGTTACAATCACATTGTTGGCTGTTTTCTTGTTTTCAGACTAAACATGAAATGAAT